GAGAATAATATCACCTAAGTATAGTAGTTTAGCAGATTGTACATTATTACACATAACTGAATAGTCTTTTTAATAAACTTTCTTTTAATAAATTAGGTTTGCAGAAGAATGAATGGTGATATATGGACAGTGCTATCTGTGGACTTTAGTCTTCTACACTCTCAGCAGCAGGGCTGTGTACAATACAATAAGGTTACAATAACAATTGTGTATAACATTATGAAGATGTCACTGTAGTGACATGAAAAAACAACCCAGGACAAGTTAGAAGAGCAACACATATTGCACCAGCTAAAATGAAATGAAAAGATCCAAAACAGTACATACAGTAGACATGTACATCCAGCAGCAATGAAGATATACTTTTGGCACAGTAGCCCTTTCCTTCAGTGAACAGGAGCAACATGCAAATCATACATCTAGCCTGAGAGTCAAGGACACAGCAAAGAATGCAGCTGGAGTTTTAATTATTTATTAAGGTGACCAGCTACTGTGCAAAAACCTAGGTTCTGTGCACACTTCTTAAAATGGATCTACAGGATGTGGCCTGGGGATTGAATTTGCTGTGACACTGAATCATACTTATATTCAACTGAAGCGGCGCTGTGTGTAACAGTACAATGCTTTCAGGCACTGCTCCCACAGAACTTTTCAACTTTGATTCATTTATTTAGCTTTTACTTATATTGGAAATAAATGTATCCGTACAGACAAAAGTGAGAACTATAAAGTTAATATATTCTTTGATATACAAACAAGAAACAGGAGAACAGGAAAATGAAAATTATATAGAGTAGATAACCCCTTTTCTGTTGCTCTTAGATTCCTTAAAGATCAAACAGTGCTGGATTACACATTTCAAAGTCCTAGACTTCCAACAACATTGTGCCTCAAGGAGTCAGACTTGCCTTATGTAATCATTGGAAGTGCCAAATGTTATGACTGTCTGATTCAAAATCCCTTCAGACTAAATGTACAAATTTTCATTTCATTTGTTGCAGTCCCTCCAGTTTATTTAAATAAGAAATCAATTTTTACTGACCTCCCCATTTTTATAGACCCAATAAATCAAAATGATACTAAACCATAAATATACAATAAAATTATTAATCAAATAACCAGAATGTTTACAAAAGGATTACAAAATACCTAATCTGAAAGTCATATCTAATGGTCATTTACTGTACAGTTAAATTTTTTGAATATGTGTGTGAAAAGAGAAAACATAGTACACATTGGAAAAAAAATCTGCTCATGAGCACATTTGCTACCTTAGCTTTTCTGTCTCAGCACATACTATAACAGTTTATGAATTGACAGCATATTGTCCTTGGGTCCAAAATCAGTTTATCAGTTTGCTTTTCACTATTTTGTTTCATATGATTGAAAAGTCAAACTAACACAAAAACATTGTGTATTATATTTTATCCAAATACTACATCACCTCCTGTTGGAATTTAGCCATAAGATCTTAATGCAAATAACACAAAATGTCTTCAGAAAACCTATTTTTTAGAATCATAAAATTAAAATCAGCTATTTTACCAGATTGTTTAACAGTGTCACCCTTTGCTATTTGATGTGCCTCTTTACAACCTGAGACATTCAGAACTTGTCCATGAATTGATTTGCCTAGAAATGTCTGGTATTAAAAAAATAACTTTCCCTTCCAAAAAACTCATGGCACACATTGCATCACTTAGCCACTAGCATACACGTTGTTTGTATTAATCAGGACTCCATTGGGCTCCTGTACTGCAGGTCTTTGCTCACATACTGTACAGTAAACCTATGAGGATCTGTAGAGACAAACCCTCTGTAAGCTTATTTTAGCCTCCAACTATCAACCATTTTAACCCAGGTATTTGCCCAGATGCCATCTACAACTGTCAAACATCTGCCTGTTATATGGTCTAAAAGTTGAGAGGTCTCCCACGCATCTGGTTCTCTTGATCCAAATTTGGCTTGGTAGAGGATAGTGATGCTCAGTCAAACAGCTTGCTTAAAGTTTGAGACTATTTCATAATAAATTCTATTCAGGTGCTCTGTCATCATCATAATATCTCACTTGTTGTTTTAACACTTTTTAAAAAGAATTCTGGGTACTGCATCCAGTAAAGCAGATTCAAATAGTGTTGAACAACTGAAGTTGTTAGAAATCAAGACACAAACCTTGGAATGTGAAACTTCATGGTTACCATGAACCCATGCCCATGGGTGTGTCACAATGGGAAAAGAAGAATTTCCATGACTAGGGTGTTCCCAGGTATCCTTGGTGTAAGAAGGTTGTGATTTCCACACTATTAAAAGGTTCCTTCAAATGCCACAATTTTCAAAACAAGTAGATGGTTTATCTTTTTCTAACTGCTTAATCCAATTAAGGATCCCAGGGAGCTAGAGTCTATCCCAGCAAGCAAAAGGCACAAGGCACTGTACACCCTGGACAGGATCCCAGAGCAGGCACACACTCATACCTAGTGCTAATTCTTCCAGAAGTCAATGAACCTGCCAGCATGTTTTTGGAAAGTGGATGGAAACCAGAGCGCCTGGAGGAAACCCACATGAATATGAGGAAAACGCACAAACCTCACAAAGCTACCTGTTGCACGTCAGGTTGGAATTCAAGCTGGGGTCCCAGTGCTGCAAGGCAACATTGTTAACCACTGCACAATCATGCCGCCCATGACTCTAACTTTCTTACATAAAATAATACTACCATATGTGATTAGGTATGTTTTTAAAGTGTTGTAGTACATGGATACATAAAGAATAGCAAAAGTGCCTTTTATTTTTTTTAGATCAATAAAGAAAATAGTCATGTTTCTCAGTGCTTTTGAGTGGATAGCCTTTTCAAGCACCAGGTACTGTACATGGCCTGACTTGATGTGTACAGAATATATAATGAGATCCTAAACTTCTCTTTGGACACAGCAGTCCAATTCTGGATACAGGATGACCACAATCCAGCAGGCTTCATACAGTAGGTCTCTTAAAATCACACACATTGTAAAATCTGGGAGTAGTTGATAAAACAAGCATCAGTTACAACAATAATTATTAGAGGTGGGCAGTGAAGAGTTGAGATGGAATGAAAACCTGCAGACACAGGAGGCCTCCATGGTGAGGACTGAACACCCCTGATTTAGAAAGATTGAAAGCTGCTGAAAGAGGGATTACTTAATAGACAGAATACTCATTCATCTTGACTCACTTTATACCTTACTTTTACCAATTTAGATAAATAATTATTCAAAACATAATTTAGGGTAAACATGGCGATTGTTTCCTTTTTGATATCCATGAGTTAACCTCAAAGTGTTAGTTGATGTTATTATATAGGAGTGGAGTTCTGTGGTGGCTAATACTGTAGCTGTTTCACATGTAAGCAATAGGTGAAATATGAGAAAAGAAAATATGAAATTGGTGTTGCCCTGAATTATTTCCAGAGACATGAAATCCTGCTTAGCTCTGATTACTGTACAATCAGAATCGGAAGTCTGCTGTTTAAACAGTATAATCAGACTTGGGAATGGAGTTTTTTGTCTAATGGAATTCCCTGTCTTTAGAGTTAAGTACATGGGTAACCCGTTCCAAATCTATTTCTAATCAGATTTGACAGTCATTTATTCTGGCTTTGCATGATTGGCATATCTCAGTTTTATTGCATCAGTCATAAGGCCACGGACAATGTGTTATATATAGTGTTAATGTGACAATACCCGTACGTTTAAAGATGATGAACTACATATACTGTATAATGCTTGGATATCAGCAAAGGAATATAAATCAAATGACTTTGAGAAAAACAATCAAATTTGTAGTATATAATAGAGCTGTATGCAAACTATTGAATAAATAAAAACAATAAAAATAGATGTAAGATATACACAATGAGAAGTAAAAATGTATGATTTACCATAATTAATAGCTTTCATCTACTGGCTTCTGCCACTTTCTTTTCCACTAAATGGCCTCCATGTAGGCTTTACTGGTGTGGCTTGCCTTCAGGAGACTGTTTTTTTTTTTTTCAGAAGTGAATCGATTAGACTGCTAACATGTAATTTTTACTTCTTATTAAAATCTTTTTTTAAAAAACAGTTACAGAAACTGCTTATTGGACAATCTCTGTCTTAATGACAGATATGTGGTTTGACTATTGATGGAAACAATGTGCAAATGCTCTTGGATTCACTCTTGTTGCAAATTGCAGTCAGGGAGTGAGCAGCCAGAATTGCCCTGAGATGACCCTTTCCAAAATATTTTTAAATAAATGTGCATAAGCTGTATTTCTACCTCTCTGTTTATATTTGTAATTCGCACATTTTGTAAGCAAATTATATCATTCGACTTCAAGTGTGTATTATTTTCTCATATTGGCTAGACAGTAGGAAGTCCAAAATATTCGAGGATCTACAGCATGTGCACTATACATTACTCCAAGTGAAAGTATCTCTCTTGTCTTAACACAATCTACTACAATCTTACCGGACTTTATATCAAAATTAGACAAATCCAACAACAAATTACGAGTAAAAATGCAGAAATTTGCGTTATGTATACTTTTTTAAAATTATTAGGACAATTCCCTTTAAATCACCGACTGTGACTACAACGAATGAAGTAAAAAAAATAAAGACGTCGATTAACTATCTTGCTGAAGGCACAATTCCCAGAAAAAAGTGACGATGGCAGTATCATTTGCTCTTTCGGACATAGGGAGCGCTCTTGGACCGGTTCTTTAGTCTTGCTCGTTTGCTCAGGAGCTGAGATGTACAAACTTTATGCAAGCAATGCAGAACAGAGTTCTCCAGAGCGCTGTCAGAAGAAAAGGAATGCGAAAAGCTGTGTCCTGCAAAGAATGGTAATTATGTAACAATGTAAAAAAAAACTTTCTTGATAACCCCTCCCATTCAAGAAATCGTACTCTCCCATTTCCATACTTCTGTGGAGTTGTCTGTGATCTGTCAATCAGAATGACTTCACTTTCAGCACGCCCTGTGTTTTCAATGGTATTCTCCCAACCTCTCCGCTTCCCTGCTTTGCTGACTGAGAGTGAGTGTGTATGTGTGTGTGGAGACTCTGGTGTAATCAGAAACATAGGCAAGGGAGAGAGCGCGCGTTCTCTCCCGGTGCACTTTGCAGTTAGTTGCAGACAGATATTGTTGGTGTGGCGGATCGCTGGTTGCGGGGAACTTTAACACACTGGATCCCAAACTCCGTCTCTTTCTCGTGTGCAGTTCGGAGCTGCCATGGATCGTGCGCCTGGAATTGCATTCTTAATGCTTTTGTCATTCTTTCTGCACACGAACGGCCTTTATATCGCCAATAGTATAGGTACGTGGGACTGTTTATCTGTTTGCAGTTTGTATTAAGTCTTACACACTATGCCTACCTGCATCTTTTCTCCTGTAACACCCCATCTGTCATTATTTGCTTTCGGTTCTTCCTTAGTGTAAACTTTTGGCTCGTTTGGTTTTCTTTTTTTCTTCATTTTTTCATGGTTTGAGGACTCAAGAAGACCTACATTCCGTGCCATGTCATCAGTGGTATTTATTGCGAAGTGCGCATTTTTCCCCATCCTTGAGCAAGAGCATATGGAGCAAAATACTTTGTGCGAGTGACAGTGTTTTTAATAGAATTTGCAAAGAAGAATAAAAGCTTGAGTAATGGGACAGGATAGTTTCATTTGTCAAGCTTGTGATGAGAGCGATTGATTTGTCACAAAACTGTAGAGTCTCATCGTAATGATAAGAAATTATACTTCGGGTTCACTAGGCTGTTTCATGATCTTGGGTTTCTGCACGCACTTTTGAATACTATTAGTTGTTGTTATGTTATCAATGTGCATAGAATAGAAAGATACGCCTATAACGTATATAAAATGATGCGTATAATGTAATATAACAGAAATAAAAATTGCACGATTATTAAAATGCTGTTAGAAATAATATCACTGGATTTGCATTACACTGTGCGCTTGCCCTGTTTTCACAAATGTAGCGAGTACACCCCTGCTAACAGTGAGAACTAGCACGTAGTGTAACAGTTTGCTATTTCTTCAAGATGAACTTGATCAGATAGCTGCTAATTATAATGGCAGTAACATCTGAAGGAAAATATAGTCTTCGAAGTGTTTCTTTGATTAACAGCTTTTAAAAAGCTTTACATTTACAATTATGATCTTGTCGTCTTTGAAAAAAATAAGGAAAATTAAAAACTATACAGTGTACATCACGTATATGTCTGCATTTGGAAACTAATACATACAGTAGCACTAAAGGCTGCATTGTGCCTTAGAATGTTTGATTTGCTTAATGTGACATTTAAAATATGTGTTGTATCTTAAACAACTGCAGAAGAGCTCATGTTACACCACCCTTCCTCCTCCTCCTCCTCCTCCTAATAATAATAATAAAAATAATAATAAATCTTTGAAGTGCTAAGATTCTTATTAATCTGTGTGAAAGCAAAGCTAAGTACAGGGTAAGTTGTGAAAATAGGCTGCAGGAACTGGTTTTTCTGTGCTTCAGGAGGAATGTGTGGACACCTTTAGCACGTGCATGCACAGGTGGCTAACATCTTTGGATGGGAGTGGGAAAGCTATGTCTGTCACCTCACCAGTTGCTCAGTGAGTGGGAAAGCCAGTATTATTCTGCATGTAAGCACCCAAGCAACACTTTGATCATACTGGTTTTCTGTATGCTGCTGACCTTGGAACTCCTGGAATAGTAAAAAAATGTAAAAGTTTCTTTTTAATATTTTTAGTGCAAAGCTTTTCAATTAAAATCCTACAGTGAACTAGAGATAATTTGGTTGCATGCAGACACACAGACAAAAGTAGTGAAATATTTCCAGTACTTAGTCCAAATTATGTCAGTTTGTGACAGTATGACATAAGTATAAGTACAGAACTCCATATGTTCACATAAAATAATGGCTTCTTGGGGTTTTTCTGCACAAAAATGTAGTTTTTGCTCCCTCCTAGTGAGGTTTATGGGAATCAGTTTTTGACATCTTATTGTGAAGCTGCTTACTTGAGTAGGCATTTCCTATCATTCACATGTTTTGAGGGATAATTACATCAATACATTAGAGGCAATTGAATGCATTTGCTAAAAAAAACCTTAAAAATGCTCCAGTACTCCGTTTTTGTGTAGTTGCGGGTATGTTTTTTTTTTCAAAACACCAAAAGAAAGTAGTTTTGGTCCACGTTTTAAGGCATTTTTGAGAGGTGGTGTGCAGAGATTTTGTAACACTAGACTGATTTTAAACTTAACTAGATGAGGTTTTTCTACGAACTACACACCAACACAGCAGACAGTCTAACAGCTGTGGTCAGCAGTTCCCTTTTACCTTGAGGACAAGTAGAAAAAAATTAAACACAGAGTGCAAAAGCAACTAAAAATATTTTTGAGTCTACTCAAGCTATTCCCTTCTTTGCAGAGTCCCTTCAGGAGGTACTTGGGGAGTACGGAGTGGTCACTCCAGTCAGTACGGATGCAGAAGGACGGTTCTTGTCCCACACTTTGTCAGAAGGTTATGGACGGAGACGCTGGAGGAGGGATTCCAACGAGGGCCCTAAAGAGAGGCTTTTCTACAACGTGACTGTCTTTGGAAAGGAGTTTCACCTGCGGCTCAGGCTGAACTCACGGCTGGTGGCACCAGGAGCAAAGATCGAATGGCAGGAGGATAGTAACATGACGCGTTCGGAGCCTTTACTGGGGGATTGCCTTTATGTTGGAGACGTCACAGACATGGAGGGGGCTTCTGTTGCCATAAGCAACTGTGATGGCCTGGTACGTATAACCAGCCAAACTCACCTTAAAAAATGTCCTGCTGTACCTCATCATAAATGCTTTTATTTGTTTGGTTTTTCTTCTTTGTTTTCTCTTCCCTGTTCTTGTTAACAGAAATGTACAGCTGACTGCAGCTGGAAACATTCAATCGCTTGAAATTAGGAGGGCCCAAATTGCTTTTGTTGATTAATTTCAGAAAACAAAGGTACTGTATAGGATCCTTACTCTACAAAATCTAAACATAAACATTTGTTCTTAAATCTATTGATGCCTTGAGGGTTTGAAATGGGTTGCAGATTTGGAAATGTTTAGTATTTCTTTGTTCTTTTTTCCTTTTATTTTTGGAAACCGCACATTATATCGAAGCCACCTTATATGATCATTTTTGCCATATTAGCTATGTAGGGATCACCTTTTTTAATACACATTTTTAGAAGTTATTTGCGTTTCTTCACTTTAAGTGAAGAGACTCTACTTTCTACCAAAATGTAAAAAAATATATTTTATCTTTTTTACTGTACATGGTCATATGAACATGTTTATTGGCAGTTGGGCATAGGGAATTTTAAGATCATTTATATAAATTAATAAATGGTAAACCTCTTAAACATGGAATTGATTAAGCCCTTTGTTGTTAAAATTCCTGAGTTGAGTAAAAATATTTTAAAATGAAATAAAATGAATTTCAGTGTTATTGATTCAGTTGTAAAAAATAGCTTTGTAATTTCAGAAGGCATGTACAGTAGGTGACACTGAAGAGTAAAATCATTAGTGATTTGGACATTAGTGATTCTGGAGGCTTTTAATAGGGATTATTACATGTTGGAATAGAAAGATAGGTAGAAGAGCTTCATATTCTGATGAAACCTGAATTAGAGGAACAATCCTTTCTGGACGATGATGTCATGAAATCAGTTTAAGGCTTGCTTATTTGCATTATATTTGTCCCTACCTAGCTGCTTGGATTAATTATCTATCCAGTGTGAAATTGGTGCTGCTGTGGTATATAAAAAGAAGCTGTTCCTGATATACAGCCAGCCAAGCTGGAAATGTTGATGTAAGTAAAAGAAGGAACAGTCAATCCACTGGCACATTAATTAGAAAACTATTTATTATTTAAACGAAACAACTGTAACCTTTAAAATGCGCTTGAAAATTACACCAGCCAGATCAAAGGCGGGATGGTTGCCAAATATCTGTGTCTAAAAGCAGATTCCTCCCTTTGGCTTATTTCCACAGCAAGTGCTGTAGAAATGAATGATACCATGAGTAAATTGCATTCTTGTGAAGTGGCTTCTGGCTCATTGCTTGTTTAAGGACAAATCGAAGTAACAGAGGAGTTTAGCAAATTAAAGAGTAGACCGCCCATGGGTGATGTGTTTTTTATATATATCCAATGGGATAGACCTAAAACGAAACTCTCCAGGGACTGAATCTAAAGTGACAGCCTGAATTAGTCCAACAACAAGACACAACAGTGGGAGTTTTTTAAAAACAAAATGGGATGGGGGAGGCTAGACAATTGAGAACTTAGTTTTAGTGGTGGCATTTTTTTATGTGACAAGCAGAGCATTCACATGTTCAGAAGTAAATCAACATCTGTAAACGATCATAGGAATACATTACAGAATCAACACAGACTTAATTCATACAAGTAAAATTTGTGAGATAATAAAGGTTTTTGTTCGTAAATTTAAAAAGGAAAAGGAAACTGAAAAAAAAAACATGTTTATTTGTAAATCATACCAGGCATCACAGGGCTGTATAAGTTTAAAACAACAATTAAACAAGTTTTGCCATTCTATGAAGAACATTGTGCCTTTAATTTTACAGGGAAGATTTAATGTTACTTATAAATCCAGAGAAATTGTGGCCATTGTTACACTTCACCTACACTTCATTGATGTAGGGAAGAGACAGAGAACTAAGGTGCCCCTTGTTTTAAAGTATGTATAATTAATTAAACCTGGGAAACGCAGTTACAGTATGTTGCTACCTGCACATTAAATCCAGGTTACATGCTCTGATGTTGTGTTTTTAGAAAGCATACTTACCCCATTCAGCACATTAGTGGAAGGCTTTCCACTTTTCAAGTTCATTTAAAGTGAAAAAATATACAATACTATATTGTATACTATAATCTAGTAGCCTAGATTACACTAAATAACTAAAAGAACACAAAATAAAGAATAAGAGTTATTCTTTGAACATATTGTAGTTGATTTTCTCACTGTGTTGTTATGCACTCTCCTGTTTGAATTAATTAAGAACAAGCTGTGAATTAAGGATAGGATAAATATTGACAAATTCTGATATATAACATGAAAGGTATTCATTTTAAATCTTAACTTACAATTTGGTCTTGATGCCTGTGCAGTGTTGCTCTTTATCTCTTTCTGTACATCCATTATCACTTTGGTTAATTAAAAAAGTAAAATTTATTTCTTTGCCAGACACACACAAAAAAACTGTTTGAATAAGATAATGACTTGCAGTCTTACTGGAACCTGAGGAACTGAAGTGTTCTGCTAGCAGGAAAATTAACAAGACATTACTGCTAACCGTACAGGTGCTAAAATTACATCTTCTTCGAGCTGACAGTTTTTCTTAAGCAGTTTTTATTCTCCACTTTTATGTTTTGTCCCAATAAGAAAAAATATAAAAATACTTTTTTCAGAGCTTTTGGTACAGTATACTGTATCTTCATGTAGTAAATGAAGAGAAGCAGATTGGAAAAATACACTTTAGATTTTCACAGGGTATATACTGTAGCATAGACATCTCTGAGGTAGTCTAGAAAGGTATGTGATTTTTTGTTTTTCTGCTTTTTCCAGGAATGCTTTAAAATAATATGAACTAAATAAGATAATAAGAAAAACAATAGATGCATTATAAATCACAGTATCAGCTTAAGGACAACAGGCAAGAGGATGCAGTACTGGAAAAACAGCAATTCAGAGGAATAATAACCCATTTCATTCCCTATCCATTATTCCCATCCCACTGCTGTGTCCTTTTGTCACCTCTGCAGAAAAAGCCTCTATCTGCTTAGGTGGCAAATTGCCTGCATCCTTAAACACCATCTTTCAGCCGCACATCAGCTCAAATAACTTATGCAGCAAGTACTGTTTCAAGTCCTAAAGATGTACACATAGCTTGTCAAAAAAAAAATTCCGGACTTCACCCTGCGCGCAGATCTTTTTGTCTTATGTGCAAGAGAATGCAGAGTGAATGGTGTTAACGGAGGAATTGTTTGGTGCTGCATCATCCTCGCTGCCTGTCCTCTGAAATTATTTCATGCTTTGCAAGCTCCTTGTGCCATTCTCTATGCCTTACTCCAGTCGCCCTCCCCCCTAAAAAAAACCACCTTCCATTAAAGAAAACAGCTGGTTACATTGTATACTACTATGTGAAACTCATCCAAGGACATGAAGTAGCCTTCTGCAAAGAGGCACCCTTCTAATATCAGAAGGTGCAAACTCTCAAAAGCCCATAATGACAGGGGTGTAAATTAACTGATGCAGCACAATGAAATTTGATAAGAGTCTCACTTTGAAACACAGCTGGAAAGTGCAGGGCTGTGTTTAGCGGTCTTCTCTCCATCCCAGGTGTTGTCATCTGTCTGTCAGTCATGCCTCTCTCCTGGAATTTCTAGGAAACCATTCCTTATTATTCTTCCTGTTGAGAAGCATCTGAACACACCAGGCCCTAGTCTAAGGCCCTGTCACAAAGTATCATTTTATTCAGTATTTCACTCATTCCCTCCTGGAATCCAAGAAAATGAAAAAGAGAACAGACTTTCAAAGTACTGTACAGGATCCAGGTAGGAACTGAAACTCTTGATGATATTATTTTTCACTTCCACAATTCCGACTGGTGTTCTGGAAAATTTTAACTAAAACACAGCTTGCTGGCAAGGTACATAATCAAGAATCCGATTGAGTAAAGGTGGGAGCCAATGGGTTTTTGATAAAACAGATTTATAAATGTTGTATGGAAAGAAAATATGTTTTTCATGTCGTTACAGACGTTAACCCTTGCTCTCAATCTCAATTCTCAAAAGTATGCAGCTGTGTAGATTTTAAATAATTGAAAAAGAAACCAATTTGGAAATATATTTTTTTCTGGCAGAAAATTTAAGTGAATTGTGTGCCAGTTATTTGTGAAATTTTAATATTGGATATTGGCCTAGCACATCACTAAAAACTGAGTGACAAAAGGCTTGATAGGGAAATTGATTAGTTTTAAAAATGTGAAAGTGGACAAAAAAATATGTATGGCAAGTAAAACCAAATGACATTGTTTCTTTTTTGGCCCTCTAGTCAAATTCCAAAGAAACTTTAGAGAAAGTGAATTAGGTATTCAGATTGAAACCAACAGCCATTTGGGACTGATCTTGGAAAGCTAAAAAGTAATATTTAAGACAGCTGCCGTTTTTAAGACTCAGGCCAAATGTAGGAACCAGAAGAATAATATATCTTGCATTAAAGCGGTGTAACAACATTCCCACCGTACTTTGCAGAACACTATAAGGTCTTCATTGACAGTAGTGTTTTAGCTTTAGTTTGTGCTGGGACACAAGTGGATTTGGTTTTTGCTTCCATTTTATTTTATTTTGAATTTGGGGATGAAACTGAACACAGATAGCTATTGGAGAACCAGGAAAGATGGCAGACAGGATGGTTTCTGCTAAAGTATTTTCATTCCTTCTGTGGAATAAATCTTCATATAGAGCAAGTCTAGGCAATCCCTTACAAGGACTGTGGAAATGAAAATCCAGGTGCAGGTTCTTTTTTTCTAAGTTATATGATGCACACACATCTTTTCCAATGAATAGTAGAATGGTAGAGGTTGTTGTTTTCTAATTCATTCTGATTTAACAAATCACATGTGCCCCATTGAGAGGAAGGCATTGGAAGAAGGTTTTCTACCCGTTGTACTGTGAACATGTCCTATCTTCTTTATTGTTGTGATTCTCACTGCTACTAATTTGAGTTTTC